TGGTTTGGCATGTCGACCTTCTTCGCAAGCTCCAGGGTTATGACATTGGGGATCGATTGTTTGACCTAATACAATCATTCCTGTCAAACCGTGAATTGAAGGTCGTTCTCAACGGATTTTCCTCCAGTTCCTATCCCACAAACGCAGGTGTTCCTCAAGGCTCGATCCTAGGCCCCACTCTATTCCATATCTACTTAAATGACCTTCCTGTCACCATAAATTCCCAAGTTGGTATCTACGCGGATGACACCACAACTTACTCCTGCCTCAAAAACAAATCTAGTGTCTCCGACAAAACTAACCTGGCCCTGCGTCTCGAAAAGGACTCCGAATCGGTTGTGAACTGGGGCAGGAATTGGCTGGTAAACTTTAATGCCTCAAAAACAAAACTGCTCTCTATTAATCACCACAGAGATCCTTCCCTGCCCTCCATTAGAATGTCTGACGCTCAACTTATCGAGAGCACCTCACTGCGGCTGCTCGGTCTCACGTTGACTGCTGACTAAAGATGGAATAAATGCATTGAGTCAATTGCTTCGTCCACCGCAAAGAAAGTCGGCTCCCTGTGCCGCGCCAGGAAATTTTTCTCCCCGAAATCAATCCTTCAGATCTATAAATCAACAATTCGCCCTTGCACGGAGAATTGCTGCCATATATGGTCTGACGCCCCTTCTGTTTGCCTCGGGGTTCTTGATAGGCTCCTGAGGAGGATATGCAATATAATTGGCCCCGATCTGGCATCTCATCTGCAGTCGCTCTCTCACAGATGCGCCGTCGCCTCTCTCTGTCTTTTTTACAAATACTTTCATGGCAATTGCTCCGATGAGCTGCATTCGCTGGTTCCCAGACATCATGAGTTCAAGCGCCCTACGAGGCTGGCATCCCGCTCTCACCCTTTCACTGTCGAAACTACTAAATGTAGCCGTCTCTTCTACTCCAATAGCTTCATGTCTCGTACCTCACGCCTGTGGAACTCCCTTCCCTATTCCAGTTTCCCTGAGAGCTATAATCTCCAAATATTCGGATGTAATGTCAATGGATATCTCCAGTTGCCTTGATCTATCCACTACTCTTCTCATCCTTTCTTCTATCACTCCTATCTGATCTTGCTCCAAATCTTCTGTAAACCCCTTGCGTCCTAGTGGCTTACCGCCTTGCTTGGGGTGAAATGCTTAAATATATATGTATATTGTAACTGTCAAGGCTTCACTTCTCAGTAGTGGATGCGCACTGCTGATGAGTCTCAAATATTGGACGAAACGGCCGTCCAGTGATTTCTGCATTCCGCTGAGGTTTCTTCTAGTCTTGATGAATTCCTTAATTATGATTATCTCAAATCCTCCTAATAATTTCTGCCTCCCCACACACAAACACACGCACACACATATATATTTATATATATGAAGAAAAATATACTGAAAAAACAAACAAAAATCCTAATATGCGATTAGGCTGTTTTAATGTTTAATATCAACGTCGGACGTTTCGGTCTAATAGACCATCTTCAGGACATATTCATAAAACATAAGTAACATAGACCATATACAATTCAACATGAAAAAGACGATGGACATAAAAGCAATACCAATCGAAACAGATAACTGAAATCTTTCATAAGATCAGCGTTCCTTTTAAATATGATCACGTCGTCGTCACGTGGGCAATGTTGTGAAAACGTATTCGTAAAATTTGAGTATTTTGAATGAACGGTGAACATTAGACCTGGCTTCTTTAATATTTCCCCTTTTCTAGCAAGATTAATGCTCGACAAACGTATATATAAGTTTTAGATCAAAATAAAATTATTTTCGTTTTTATTCAAAATACTCAAATAATTTGAGTATTTTGAATGAAAAAGGAAAATAATTTTACTTTGATCTAATATGTACGTTTGTCGAGCATTAATCTTGCTAGAAAAAAAACGGATTTTTGTTTGTTTTTTCAGTATATTTTTCTTCATACTGTCGGATCTATATCCATATATTTGCTTATATATATATATATATATATATATATATATATATATATATATATATATATATATAGAGAGAGAGAGAGAGGCATCATTTAGTACATACGTCTCTTTGAATGGCTATTGCTGTTTTTCTTTATTTTCTTAAATAGTGAAATTGATAACGACTGGCATAAATTAAAAATTTATGTTAACGAATGTGTGTGCCTCCAACCGGAATCGAACCTCTATCCTTTTAAGATCAAATAAACATTTTATAGCCGAAACATGCCTTCACCAGTTCGGGTACGAGTTGTTACAGCAAGGTTTGGATTACCTATTTAAGAATCTGTATCTACTAACTTCAGTTTAGGACCCGAAGTAGATTATAAATTAAATTGTTCGGGCCATTCTCCTGCCTTTGTGAGCTTACAGCCATATCCCAATGAAACTCCTGTTCTCGTATGATCACCGAAATTAAACAGAAAATATCCTAAAACCTACAAAACCGCTATCCCAATGCACCTTGTTACTTCAGCTCTGCCGAAAAATTAGAACAATTATAGCAAAAAAATTAACCCGTCTCTTGTAACAATCAGTCCGTCACATATAAAAAAAATTCAGACAACCTACTTGAAAAACTAAGTGAAATAAATATGCTTGACAAATTTAAAATGCCCTTAAAATAACGTCACCGTTGAAAAATGCTTAAATATCTTAAAAATGCATCTAACTTAAAGACAAAGTTCTCCCTATGAATAGCTAAAAGAATAATAATCTAGCGTCTTTTTAACAATCAGTTAGTTATCATACTTATTATAAAACCCAGGTTGTGTGTGTGTGTGTGTACGTTTATATATTGGATCGGATTTCCTACATTTTTCAACCGATTTCAACAAAACTTCACAGGACTACGTAAAATTACCTTGCGGTGGTTCTGACAGCGTCAAAAATTGGAAAAAACACAACTGTTTTTGCACGAAATCAATTTGAAAACACAATTAAGAAGCATCACGAGAATGAAAGGGGGACAACTCATATCAAGTTATACTTATTATAAAACCAAGGTTGTTTGTGTGTGTATGTGTTCGTTTATATATGGGATCGGATTTCCTACATTTTTCAACCAATTCCAACAAAACTTCACTTTTTTTTTGGCAGGTAGTGTTTCTTATTGTCTTGCACACTTTTTTCTTTATTTTTACATTCAGAATGCTTTAAAAATTACATTTACAAGACAAATCTTATAGAGGTATCACATAAGCACTAAGCAACATAGTTACCCGGCACAAAAACAGCATTAAATTACCAGACAACAGAAAACTCTTCGTGTCACAACATATCCACAAATGCAATAATAAACTTAAAATTTTTTTTCTAGTATTTGGAAGTAAGAGTAATCGTCTTTTTGGTATATTGGTATAATTTTATAGACAAATTTAAACCAGCAATAATATATAGGTTTCTTTATAATAATATAATATATATGTATGAAGAACGAATATATACAGACATACTAGCAAAACAAACTCACTAGACAGACCACAAACACGCAGACACACACACGAAGCCTACACAGCATACAAAGTGTGTGTGTATATATATATATATATATATATATATATATATATATATATATATATATATATAAGTGAACATAGAAGTCAACATGCTTAGAGGCGACAGTCTGTTTCATGATAGACGCAATCGTCAGGCTACGAGACTCGTGGCCTGACGATGTCGCCTAGCATGAAATCGACTGTCGCCTCTTAGTGTTGACTTCTATGTTCACTTTTATATTTACACACGCTTTATCTCTGATACTGAGCTATTTATCCCATAAACATAGCACAGCTTAAGACTATATTTCTTCACACACACACACACACACACACACATATATATATATATATATATATATATATATAGTATTCACTTGCAATATATACGTATGGAGAAAGAATGTATTTACTGATACGTGCAAAAACAGACACACACAATACACAAGAATACAAAGATGTCCTCCTTTTTTTCCATACACAGGCCAAAATTTAATTCATTTATTGTCCCTCATGCAAAGGAACATTTTTCGGACAGTCTAAGATGCATTCAAATGAATACTACTGCACACAAAAGACAATGGTTTAAAAAAAGTTAACATAGCAAGAAACATGTGTGGAAATAATCATTCTTTACCTCATGAAGATTACAACACCAGTAAAATATATAGAATAAAGTATCTAAAATGTCCACATTATTATCAAAACGTTGCTAGCCATTTGGTTAAAAGAAGGGGGTGTGTACCAAATGATTTTCCTGTTTCAAATCTTATTTCTACGATCGCTGTTGTTATGAGCTTAATTTACTATTTACCGTAGATATGTCATTTAATTGGTAGATCAAGACAAACCCACAAGTCTATGTTTAATTCTGACATAGTGTTTTCTCACAAGCACCTCCTTTATTTTTCGGAAAAGCGGTAACACTTTGATTATGAAATTTTCTTAAAAATGATTTAATCACCAGTCACTTACCACCACCTGAAGAGCTACAACTTAGTGCCTAAACACAAAAGCTATTGTGTGTCGATTTCCACGTTTTAGTTGTAATATCTTATGATAATAATAATAATAATATATTGCTCTACTTTGTTTTGAGCACTTTTTTTAAAAGTAAATTCTATGTACAGCAGAATTTTAGTTCATCTGTCCTTTCTCTCATTTTTATACACACACACACACAAACATAAAACACACACACACACAAACATATATATATATATATATATATATATATATATATATATATATATATATATATATATATATATATATATTAATGTGCGTGTTTACATTTAAAAATATTACCTGCTATCTTCTTGCTACTATATACGTACAAATGTACATTTTCAGTCACATATATTTGTTTGTCATGTGCTTATGTGTATGTGCTTTTTTTTGGTACGTGGGTGTGGAAAAGAGTGTCTAGTTTATTGTCTGTCAGTGTGTCAGGCATTTGTTACCCCCTAAACGGCCATAGTCGATACGTAATGGACATGAACATGCCAACAAGCGTGTCTGGAACCCTGCCCACCTTATCTGCGGGTCATCCGAATTCAGTGCGCATCACAATTTACCCACAACCCCATATCTCTTGCTGTCGTATTATTATGATTATCATCATCATTATTATTATTAAATTAGTTTCTTCTTTTTCACTCTTCAACATTCTTTCATCTCTTTCCCCTTTTTTTCTTTTTTCTTTGTATTCATCACTTTCCGAATCTTTTTTGGTTTTTTTTTTTTACTAAGTATTTATCTATTGTTCTCTTCTCGTTCACATTTTTCTCCCTCAAGTTCTTCTTCCTATTTTTCTTTCTTTCTTTCTCTCTTTCTTTCTTTCTTTTTTCTTTCTTTCTTTGTTTGTTTCTTTGTTTGTTTGTTTGTTTGTTTGTTTGTTTGTATCTTTCTTTCTTTCTTTCTTTTTTTCTTTCTTTCTATCTTTCCCTGTTCTTGACTAAGTTGTTCTTTTCTTGTTCGCCCTTTTCCTATTTGCTTTTCTTCATCCTTTTTTTTATTTTATTTTCTTTCCCATGCCTCTTTAGTTTCGTATTCATCTTTTCTTCATTCTTTATTTTTATTTTACCTTCTTTTACTAATTATTTTTTTTTATTTTCTTCTCCACTTTTTTCGATAATTTCCATCTAGTCTATTTTTCTTTCACCACCCCCGCTTTATAGTTGTTTATATTTATTTCAGTTTTTTTTTTAATATTTACTTCTATTTTCTCTATTTCTTTTTACTGTTACGACTTTATTTTATTTTTATTTTCGCCTCAGTCTCATCCTCTCTCTATCATCAACTTCTTCAAAGTGTTTCATTATCCTCTTTTATGTTACATCTTTATGTCGATTTTACTTAAAATATTTTCATGAGACTTCTTTCATTCTTACTTTTACCTTTTTCTTCCTTTGCATCAACAAGTATTATAACTTCTTTCTTTCTTTCCTTCTTTCTTTCTTTTTTATTAAACATTTTATTCATGCTTTTCCCCTGTTTATGGTCAATGCTTTATTCTTCCTTCATTCTTTTCATATCTTATTTTTCATTTCTCTTAATGTTTCTCTCTGTGATTGTTCCATTCTTCCTTTTTGCTATTTATTATTCATTCATTCGCTCCTCCGTTCCTTCCTTCATTACGGCGTTTGTTTATTCTTTGTTTGTGCATTCTTTGTTTCTTTGTTAATTGTTTCTTATATTTTATTTTTAATCTTACTTAATTTTCCCATCCGTGATTTATTCTTTCTTTCTTTCTTTCTTTCTTACATTCATTCAGTAATTCTTTCTTTCTTTCTTTCTTTCTTTCTTTCTTTCTTTCTTTCTAATAAACCAAGAGTCTGATTCTTTCTTTCTTTATTTCGTTCTTTCTTTTATCCATTCATTAATTCTTTCTTTCTTTCTTTCTTTCTTTCTTTCTTTCTTTTATTCATTCATTAATTCTTTCTTTCTTTCTTATTTTATTTTTTAATTTTCCTTAATTTTCCTACCCGTGATTTATCCTTTCTTTCTTTCTTTCTTTCTTTCTTTTCTTTCTTTCTTTTCTTTCTTTTTTTCTTTCTATCTTTCTTTCTTTCTTTCTTTCTTAAATCATAAAATGTCAACGTTAATTCTCTTTGTCGTCTCTTCTTTATGCAATATATACTTTATACTTCTTTATTTAATATATACTTTTTTTCTTTATTTTTCTCATTCTCTTTTGCTTCCTCCTTCATTATTGTGCTCACTCTCCTCTTCTCTCTTCGTTCAATTTTTAATGTCTTGGTTAAATAACAGGGAAAGATCCTAAAATTCAGAGGCAGACTCTGATTAAAAGAGAAAGAAGGAAAGAAATGACTAAGATACTTAAAAGTGAATCAAACGAAAAAGAAACGACCAAAAAAGCGTAGATAAATAGATAAATAAATCTAAATGGAAAACCGAGGAAAAATCATAAAAACCAGGCAAAAATGTTAAAAGCAAGCATTGGCTTTGAAGGAGGGTCTTGGGAAAGGAAGAAATGCGAACTCTCAAAATATGCTGCTTCTAGCAATGGCAAACAAATAAGAAAGATTAGCGTTGAATCGGCATAAATCTTGGAGCAGTCAAGACGAAGACAAAGTTTATGGATTCTCTTTCCTCGGTTGCCATGATGTAGATGCTCAGAGCGGAGATGACGCTGCCCGGCATTCCCAACCGCTGGGACTATTACTCACGGCAAAAAGGATGGACGCATTCCGTTCGCTTCTATATCAACTGGAACTCCATCAATTCCAACATCCTTCTGTAGTCGTAAAATAAAACCACTTTAGATGCGCATGCACTGACACCACTATTTCTTTACTTTTTTCTTTTTTTTTTTTTGCTTTTGTATTTCCATGACCGCCACGACTTCAGATGAGAAGGATTTCTTACAACCTGCCATTGCCCCGCCCTAACGCTTACTGACCGGGAAAAAATGTTGGAGCTGAAGTTGGAGGGTGATTGAGATAGGATCAGGCTACAAGTTCGATTAGTTTCATTTGGCTGGGTTTTATCGATTGATAAAAGACATTAGTAGACAAATAAATAGCTATGGTTGCAACAACGACAAAACTACCAGAATGGGAATATGATGAAGAAAAAATAGAAAAATAAAAGGAAAATGCGACACAATCAAATAGGTTTGACTGATACCTTAGAGAAATAATAAGTACAGGAAGATTTCGAAATCTGAGATCCGAACCGAGAACGGTATTCGGGATTTGAGCAATCTGAACAAAAAAAAAAAAAAAAAATCTATCAGAATGAAGCCATTGCTTTTTGCAACGGAGGATGGAATTAAACAATAAATACATAGATAGTATAAAAAATAATTTAAAGAATACCAGGACATCGCCAGAGATATAAAGAAATTATACAAAATGGAGGGACACGCTCATAGCTCTAATAATTTTTTGAGTATTTCTGAAAATCGGTCTGTTGTGAATATGTAAACAAATGAAGAATTAATAATGAAGGAGACGAGAAGAAGACGAACAACAGCAACAAAAAGAGAAAGAGAAGGGGGAGAAGAAGCGGGAAAGAGAAGAAGAAGGAGGAGGTGAAAAGGAAAGAAATGAAGATGAAAAGCAAAAAAAAAGAAGAAAGAGTGGAAGAAGAAGGAGGAGGACAATAAAATGAGGAGGAGGAGGAGGCGGAGAAGAAGTAATAGTAATAGTGGTGGTGGTAGTAGTAATAGTAGTAGTAGTAGTAGAAGAACAAGAACAACAAGAACAACAAGAACAACAACAAAAAGTAAAGCATCAGAAGAATAATAATTAGAAGATGAGGAGGAGAAGAAGAAGACCAAAAAGAAAACCGAAGAAGGGAGAGTTGAAGAAGAAAAGAAGAAGGAGAATGAGAAAAAGAAAAGTGTAGCGGAAGATGATGAAGAAGAAAATGAGAAGAACAAGAACAAAAAGGTGGAAGAGAAGAAGATGAAGAAAGAGTTGAAGAAGATGTAAGAGAGGATGAGGAAGAGGAGGAGGAAGAAGAAGAACAACAAAAAAAAAAGAGAGATGAAAAAGAAGAAGAAGAAGAAGGCAACAACAAAAACAACAAACACAAAAAGAAAAAAGTTGGAGGCGAAGAGAAAGAAAAAGATACGTAGTGCAATATATTTAGAAAAGTGGTAATTTTAAGAAATAACAAAGGAAGAGAACGACAAAGGAAATTCTATAATTGAATGATAGATTAGCCTCCATTTACATGGACGTAATATTAGATTATATAATGAATATGTTACAATCGATAGCAAAGGAAAAATTCTCAAATAACTAGCTACAAATAGCTTATGTTAAAATAAAATGAGTACAGTTTAAATAGCTGGGAAGTGATTTAAATGGGGACGGAAAATGTGACAGCGAAATCCGAAGTTGAGTAGCAAAACATGCCTTCCAAACACAAAGCAAAGTATTAAGGAAAAGGAAAAGGAAGTTCACCTGCAATAACAATAGTCTACAATAGCAAGGAATATTTATCAATTTCTAGACAGAGGAAGAGGAGACACGAGGTAACACAGATTCTGAGAGTGTCATTGAAGCGAGATGATAGCAACGTGGAAGTTCGAAGGTCAATGAGAACTAAAAAGACGCTTGAACATAAAATCCGAAAAATGGATGAATTACTTGGAACACAGAATTAGCAAAGAGACTTCGGAGAATTTGAGATTCCATTAAGATACTGGAAGCAAGAAGTTCAGAGGGAACAGAGATGTGGCTTAACAGAATGATGCTGAGAATAATATGTACTAAGAATATAAGCAACAAAGAAATTTAAAGAGAAATGAAAACAAAAAGACAAATTTTTATACATAAAATCAGAAAAAGGCAGTTGATTTTCATGGGTAAATAATAAGAATAGAAGTATTGGAGAATTTAACACTCACAAGGCAAGTGGAAAAGATGAGAACTGCGAATGACCAACGGTGTATCAGGAAGTGTGAAAGTATATAACTGGCCTAAAAAGCTATATACTCTCCCATTGTACAACCTTCGAACTCAAGTGCAGGGAACACATGATGCTGAAAGAAATGCGTCTTATTAAATAATATAGACATATAAACCTATTGTTTCTATTAAGTATGTCAATCTTCCTCTACAAATTACGCATAATCGTTCGCCAAGAAAAAAAAATTGAATTTGATTTTGAAATTTCCAAAACTTTAGTAATGGCTGTATCCAAGCTTTGGAATATCGTAGATCATCTTCGTGAGTATGCAGTTCGCGTATATATATATATATTGCTAGATGCAATCGTCAGGCCGCCTGACGATTGCGTCTTGCATGAAACAGCGTATCGCCTCTGAGTGTTGATTTCAATGTTCACTTTTATACTTATATTTACATACATTCTATCCCTGATTTTGAGCACTTTACCCCATAAACATAGTACACCTTAAAATTATATTTCTTCATCTCTCTCTCTCTCTCTCTCTCTATATATATATATATATATATATATATATATATATATATATATATATATTAAAATATGAATAATTCTTGTCAAATTTGTTTTTCTTTAATTTTGTCTCATACTCCTAACCGTCTCCATATTTTTAAAATGTTAATCCGTTCCCTAAAAGTAAGCCCCTGAGATGCAACACTTTACTGACAGTGAAAGAATTTAAGGAGGCGGAAGACGACGGTTGATATTGCATTTCAATCTTGTAAGATCAAGGTTCTCAGGAAAGCTGGAAGCCAGAAGTCATTTTCACAATCACGAAGTGCGGCAAATGAAACTATAGGCAAAAACTTATGGTTAATACTAGCAATTTCAAAAGTGAAATTACGAAGTCGATGTGTGAAAAAAGCAAAGCTGAATAATTACACTGGAAATGTTACAAGGATGATACGTTATGGACAAGCTAAATGGCAGGACCTATAATTATACATAATATATAATTATAATGACCTAGAATTTTTTTGTATTTTGTCCAGAATTTCTTCATGCATAGCAGAAGCAGCAAACTAGATGTGACAGAAATATTCAATGTACAGACAAATGATAAACTTATAAATGTGCAAGATAGGGACTGGCGAGAAATATATTGTCCAGCATGAATTAGTAATTTTCGTAGCAGCAAACATATCAATCGATTCAATATAATTTTCCCGCTTCATACCAGTGGAAAAGCAAAGACCGAAAACTGATAGTGAGGTTAAAATCAGCTATGCTTTTTATAACCTCACTGTGCTTTAATGATAAAATAAATAAAAACAGATTGTAGATAATTTTCGAGATCATCTGCCAAATTAGTGTTACAAATGTGACGCAGGGCACCTCAAGGCGGTGTTATGATTAGCAATCTTGTCTCGCTAGAACGATTACGACTGAGTAGAGAGTTCGATCCTCACTGGGTACCCCTTACATTTGGCCTTATGCCACATCTAAGCTACGCTTGGAAAATCACTTTGGGCACCTCGGCGTGGTGTAATGATTAGCAATCTTGTCTCGCTAAAACAGTTACGACTAAATAGAGATCCTCATTGGGTGCCCCATACTTTCCGCATTGTCCCACATCCAAGCAATGCTGAGAGAATCAATACAAATGTGACCCAACACGTGATCTTAGAAAGCGGAAGGAGAAGATGTTACCTATGCGGTGTATCCATCGTCACTTTGCTTTTCAAATTACCATTTTTTTTTACTCCACGGAGCATCTCTTCTCTAGTAAGAACTTTAAAATTTTATAGTGGTTGTAATTTTGTACGACATAATCATGAAATAAAAAATAAAATCTCGTATCCTATCAATTAGCATATATGAACTGCTCGTTGTCGTACGGACATGTTCTCCGAAATAAAGACAAATAAAACGAAAAACAGATTGGGGTGTTAATA